GTAGTACGTACGTAGTACGTAGTACGTAGTAGTACGTAGTAGTAGTAGAGTAGAGTAGAGAGAGAGAGAGAGAGAGAGAGAGGAGAGGAGAGAGAGAGAGAGGAGGGAGGGAAGGGGGGGGGTCTCGAGCTGGTAGTTAGGACATCAAACGTATCCAGCATACAGGTATGAGACGTTACAGAATATAGTTCAGAAAGGCCACAAAATGTTGTGTATTGGTGACCTTCTAGGATTTTGTGCATGAAATAGGTATGAAATCAAGGCACCAAAGCCCCTCAAATAACAATAGAAGGAATTTGAAGCTTGCAAAATCTCCAGCTAATTTCCAAAAGATGAATTAATGGTGGAGTAGGCGCCCAGAGAAGTGATTGACTCTACCTAGGCAAGCTCTCTACATCTTTGATGCTCAGCGTATTGGTCAATAGATTTTGAGGCTGATTTCGTTGATATGATATATGTGTCAGAGAGGAACATTTGGTAATCAAGCTTTTTTGTCAGCTTTAGGATATTCTTAAGAATCGTAGTTTGGTCAGTAAGCTGTTTAGCAGTTACATCAAAGGCAGTCTTTAATATGCTTAAAGCTACTTAAGGCAAATGCCACTTTCTTCCACACCAATTGTAGGTTGGATGCGCCATTTCCTCCGTGATTACCAACAAGAAAAAGCACATATTATAATAACCATGATAAAAAACAAATACAAAATTTGATCACAAGCAATTTTCTAGTGAGCAAATTCATTGCAAATCAATCTTACTGTCACCCAGTTCTTGTTTATATTCCCAGTTTTCAATTGTCCTAATTGTATGCGTTTTATATTGCAAACTAGTGACCAACTTTTACAGAAACGTTATATCTAGTGAATTCGTTTTTGAACTGACATATACCAAGGAAGGAATTGTAATTCCCATCCTTCTTTTACACTTGTTTCTGCCCATCGGGAGTGAATTTACTCTCCATTTGGCTTTCAACAATCTCAGACGCAGATTGATATGAAAACTTGACTCCATATCCCTCAGTGAATTCAAGAAAGAGTTAACCTAACAATTCAGAGAGTTACAGGGGTTGCACAATTATACAGTTATATCATTCACTTAATCACAATAAACTACAAACTAAAAAGCACAAATAGAGAGGGACATGGAAGGGAGAGAACGAAATTTATAATCACACAGAACAAAAAGCAAAGGGAGAAACCTTTTGAGGCTCTGGAGTGAGTCCAAATCACCTATCTAAATGGAAAAACCGAACTATAACCCTAGGTCTAATTTAAGAACCAGTATCAGACAATAAGCAAGCCAGACCCTCAACTGCTTTCTCTCTCTAAAAACCAACAAAAAAGAATTTCCAACCTTTAAATCTTAGCTTCTCGCGATTTCCAGCACAAAACCCTAGAAAAGTTATCCAATTTCATTTCGAAGAGCTCATAAGAAGAAGATTGGGTATGTATGCTCCCATAGCCGGCCGCCCGCCCGTGAGAAAACACCACGCACAGGGAAGTGAATTCTCTCTCCTTGCCTGGAGTGCGCCCGGTGACAAAGTTAAGAGAGAGAAAGCGCTGCAAGGAGAGGAGAAAGAACGCGGAAGAGAGAGAGAAAGAACGCGGAAGAGAGAGAGAGAGAGAGAGATGGGAGTGGTTGGGGGCATCCATTAGGTGAATTTGTAAAGAAGTGAGGAATTGGTCAGAGAGTGGTGGAGCCCATGAGATGAACTTGGACCTCCCTCTCGGTTTTAGACTTCTCTCTCTCTCTCTCTCTCTCCCTTCCCCCGGGTATCTACGCTGCACTCATGTCGCTCTGTTCTCTCCAGACTTCTCTCCTGTTTCTCTCTCTATAACGTCTCCCTCCCTGGAGCTTCTCTCTCCTGTTCCTCTCCCTATAACTTCTCTCTCTATAGCCTGTTCCTCTCTACCGCTGCTGCTAAATGCTTTCTTCTCTCTCTCTCTCTCTCTAAAAAAAGCTTTTATGAAGAAGGGTGGGACCCCGTTTAGTAGGAGATTGGCTTCTAAGCCACGCGACGGTGAGCACCGTAATTATGTGAGTAATTTGTCCAGTGTGAACTTTCCATCTGAGGCCCCCAATGGACGCATCAGATTTAATGAACCTTCTCAGGGGCATCAGAACCGTCCGATTCGATGCATTCACTTCGGGTTTTACTCGACAAAAAAACTCGTCGCCGTCTCGAGTTTGGAGAGTCGGATTGTGGCGTCGTTGTTACGTGGAAAAAGATTATAATGTAGAAATACGGTGCATCTCTAAAATTCACATAAAAACGTGTTTTTTGAGTTGAAAAACTTTACAAAGATCATCTTCACTTCCAGACTAATCAAGTATCATTCTAATTAATGCCATTCAACCGGCAAGGCCTTCCATTGAAGATATTCTTGGGCAAATATAGATTCGATCAAGATTTGTTTTTTTGAAGTACCAAAAGCAAGCATGATGTCCTTATAAACATAAAGTCATATATATATATATATATAAATAATAATTTAAAATCCTAAAAATAGTAAATATTATAACCCAATATTTAGATTGTCCATTTCTTTTTTTTTTTTAAGTGTTTATAGATTTGATTGATCAACATTATTTTTTAAGCTTTAAATTTCATAAATAGATGTAAAAAATAGATTTTTAGATCATCATAAGAGTTTCCAACACCAAAATCGTATCTTTTAGCTGGATTTAGAAGTGCGTCTTACTTTCATTATTTAAGTCTAACACCTTACACAACGGACACCTTTGTTGTAATTTTATAATTTTGAATCTCAATAAAGGTAGGAAAAAGTTTATATGAGGTTGCAACTTTATATTATAAAAATAAGGCGCACCAAAAAAACCACTAGAAAAGAGTGTTCCAAAATTGGAAAACTTTCCTATTGGTCATATTATTGGTCATATGGTATAGAGAAAAAACGAAATTCGAGTTATAAGAATAGTCATATTGTAACAAATTATATTAACCGTCTATTTCAAGTTTTTGAGGTATTTATAGATATGCTTAATCTACATCATTTTTTAAATTTAAATTTTTATAATTAGAGTTGAACATTAGTTTTCAAAGCACCATAAAATCTCGACAATAGAATTACCGGCAAAATTTAGAGGTACTCCTTACGTGTAAAACTTACACAAACCTCACCCATCAGGACAATCAATAACCTAAACCATAAAGTTATGAGAGTCCACGTCTACATTGGCATTTGCGCTATCCAATTATATTGTACTTCCCCTCCCCTATATTTGAAATTCCAAAAACACATTTTCAGACATATAATATCTAAATTAAATGGATGGTGCAAAAAGTGGCCACACACTCCTAAAACACTAGGTCCAAAGGCTACATACAATGTTTTTTCTCTTTTCCATGTGCCAAATCCTGATTTTTCAATTCTTATTTCCATCAATTTCAGGTTGGAAAATATTTTGACAGGGTGTAACCCTATCAAATAAGTAAAACCTCATCCCAAAACTAATTGAAAATTGCAAATTTTGCTATCAGAAAAAATTTAAATCAAACATTTTGGTCTTGATCATTGTGGTTGTGAAAAATAATAATTAACATTTCAAGCCAAAAAATTAGTGTATATTGTAACACATTGTCAAGACCGTCCTTTTCACCCTAAAAAAAAGTGTTCATTGATATGTAAGATTTATACCATTTTTTTAGCTTCAAATTTCACAATCGGTATTGAAAATTGATTTTAAAACCATCATGGGGAGATCCAATGCTCAAAGTGCTTCCTGGACGAGGATTCAAGGTGAAGCTTTACTTTGTTTTAATAAAGCCCAGGCCTTATAGAAACTCTAGCCTTTCAGATGTTAACCGTAGCAATTCCCTGGAATTGACTTCCACAAGAAATCCATTACTCTTATAGCATGTGGCAACAGGGATTTCTCAATTCCGGTAGGAGTATTCAACTTAATACTCCTATCTCATAAAACAAGATTTGAGGTGGTGACAAACTGAGAGAAGGTCCTAAATATCATAGTAACAGTATTTTGTGAGTCAGTAGACTCAATAACCGGCTAACTCACAAATGCCCATCTTTAAGATGAACCCCGGAATAGAAAATTTTTAAAAATATATTTTTTATGTTCGACCGGCTAACTCAATAACCGACACAGTTTCGATGAGTCCATGTAGAAATGAGTCCACTCTTAAAATTCTATTTTTGAGATGGATTTTCAGACCCAATTTTTTAAGAACATGTAAACTCTAACATGGAGATCATGAATATGAATAAATAAATAAAAAAAATTTAAAAAATAATAATAATGCTACGAAGAAAACATCAATTGCTTTTAGATGGACCACCCATTTGCATCCATCTTGAAGATGGATGCCTTATAATGCAGGGGAGCCAATGTAGAAATACGGGACCCGACACATAAAACAATTTACCTTTGGATAAAAGATCTGTATAAAAAATAGGTGTTAGAGGGAGCCCGCACAAGAATAGTATGAGTCGGGGGACTCTTAAAAACCTTGTCCAGAATCATATCCTCTGAATAAGATTTCATTTGGAATTCTAAAACAAAATGCTTCAGATTGCCATCCATTTAATGTGGGCATTGCAAATTTGTTCTTAACAAATTATCAAGAAAACAAACAAACCCATCAAAAATTTATTTGAAATAATAGGTAGTATCGAATATAGATAACTAATGATCTAAACCTAATTTGAAGTAGGTCATCTAATTCACATCTTCCATTTCCATTTGAGAGAGAGAGAGAGAGTATATTTAAGCACTTTTAAGTTCTAACTAAATCTGCCAATTCTATTTAACACAAGCAAACAGGCTAACCTTGTCACTTTCAGAAAGACAATAATGCGGGGCACTTTGGCTTGGTGCGCTTCCCCATTTTTTAATGGACAAATTTTGAAGTTAGTCCCTCGTGTACACCAATCTAACACAAGCTGAAAAAAATACACCAAAAGGCTAGACAAGCTGACCAAAACAATAGGCTAAGGGGGCCGAAAAACAAATTGGCAAGCTTTCTAGCTTCCCCTTCTGCATAATACTTATTAACTTCCTTCAGTCCAAACTGTCCATTCTGGATAGATAGACAGCTGAGATGACCCTAATCATAATGTCACATCTTTATACTATTTTATTTTTAATTTTGTTTTTATAAAATATATGGCGTCCACTCTTTTTTAAACCCGCATTTCTAAAAAAATATGAAAAAGATATTCTCTATAAAATAAAATGACCAAACTACTTCTATAAGTTTTAAAGGGTATTTTAGTTATTATATTTTTTAAAATTTTTTATTATATATTTTTTAAGTGCATCCCATTGAGAAGATGACACACACCGAGTTTCATATTCATATAACTTATAGAAAAATTAGATATAAAATTCTCTGAGATGTCGGATTTAGATCAAACAGCCAATAACTCACTTGATCTAAATTGGATGGCTGGATAGAGAAGTAGATGATCAGAAACATGAACCTATATAAATGTGCACATAATTACAAAAGTAGATCTCTCCCATCTTTGCCTCCATATTATTTCTATGGATAGTTATGACCATATGCATTATCGTTACGTAATTACAAAAGTAGATCTCCCCCGTCTTTGCCTCCATATTATTTCTATGGATAGTTATGACCATATGCATTATATGCATTACATATTATTTCTATGGATAGTTATGACCATATCTTCTTCTTCTTCGTCTTCTTCTTCTTCTTCTTCTTATGACCATATGCAATATGGTTTATGACCATATAATTAGTTATGACCATATATTCTTCTTCTTCTTCTTCTTGTTATTACCATATGCAATATGGTTTATGACCATATAGTTATGACCATATGCATTCTTATCTTCTTCTTCTTCTTCTTATGACCTATATG